AAAATTAATTCCAGTAACTTCTGTAAATCATTTAATAATTCTTTGTAGATCAACTTTTCAATAGTGAATTTTAGCCGATAACAATATATATAATAGTTTGAGGAATTGAAGATACCTTATGATTATCTATATGAATATATTTTGCTAATGATATAGCTTCATTAAAGACAATTTAAGTATATTCTTATTATCATTAGTAGTAGGCTGGCTATATGTAAAATTTTTCAATTATTTCATATAGAAGTAATATGCTATCTATATTAAAAAGGTAACCTAAAGAATTTTATTATTATTAATTATTTAATTTATTTAAACCAAATAAAAAATAAGTTATAAATTACCTGCTGTAGAATTACATTTTCTATTAGTAATGATTATTTCAGCTTGTGAAATTTATCATAATATGAGACACTTTGTTATATTTTGAAAAATATAAAAATTAAAATCAGAAAGTATTCTTCATGAAATTTTAAACATAAGGTAAATAGGGGTATTTTGACGAAGTTAACTTTACTACTATGTAAACTTTTTATCAGCAAATTTAAAATTAAAGTATTTAAAGTCACTAAAACTATGCTTTATTTAAAATTAAAGTAATACAAAATAAAAAAGAATTTATTAGTTGTAATAGTACAAATCGTCATTTTGCATAAACACATAATAAATTGGAAATTTTAATAAAAATGGGATTGTGATGAATTTATTTTTTATTTTTCAATTGAGCCTTTTCCTGCCTTTTTTCTAATTTTTGTGCTAAGTTAAGTTCTCGCATAACTTTCTTTTCAGCTACTATTTCTTTCTGTCGTTTTATTTCTATAACTTTTCGTTCTGCTTTCTCATTTATTTCTTTTAATTGTTGTCAACTTTCTTCATTTGTAAGAAGTCAAGCAAAGGGAAGTGTTTTTTTTTTCTTAGGAGGAAGTAAAGGAAAATCTAGGATTTCAAGTTGGTTTTTAGAAGGCTCTTGAAAATTATTAGCTTGCATATTATGAGAAACTGGATATTTAAAAGCTAAGCGTAAGTTACATGTTTCAGAATTTTTGTAGGTATCCAGTTCCTCTTTTAATAATTCGTTTTCATTTTTAAGCTTTATATTTTCGTCATATAACTTTTTAATATTCAATTTTGTAGGATTTGGTTGGTAAGATAATCGAAATGCTGAAATTTATTCAGCTGATTACTCTGAATAATTAAATTGCTCAGTTGTTAATGAAGGGTCTAACTGATCTGGACTAATTGCATTAGGATTAAATGGCAATATTCCAATTGCCTTATAAGCATTACAGATTGCTAATAGAGTATAAGTTTCAAGAAAAGCAGATCCAAAAACTTTCGCAAAAGTATGCTTTTTTACTATCATACTATTGTTATTATTGCTATACCTATCACATGATTTATTATATTCTTTTTTTAGCTTTGCAAATGGAATTTCTGACGGTTGTAATACATGTGTTGTATAAGGTGGAAGTGCATAAAGAAGGATACCATTTTGACGACAAAAATCAATACTCATATAGTTAATATAGCTTTTATGATCATCCAATATTAATAAAACTGGACGAATAGGTAAAATTAAATTAATAAAATAATTAAGATACATTTGAAAAAGTTCTTCACGCATATATCCTGTATTTGTAAATCCCATTATAGTTCTAGAAGGTGCTCCTTCTAATAAATCAGGAATTGTTCTAATACTTTTATAAATAATCAAAAGTGGTATATATGATCTGGCAGCTGAAATTGTTGATGCTAATGAAATATGCTCATGAGAATTTCCATGTAAAATTTTATGCACTTGGCATGCACCTTTTCACGCAATAACTTTTTAAGATTTGGGAATAATAACAAATCCAGTTTCATCCATATTCCAAATTTGTACTGCAATAAGTGAATTCTCATTTATAATTTGTCGAAGTTTTTTAAAATGATCATTAACAACAATTTTATTTGCTCATTGTGTATGTGCTTCTGATAATTCTTGGGAAGTACGAATTGATAGCTCAGGATGGTCCCTCATAAAACGTTTCTACCAATTTTGACCTGATCCATTTTTTCCAAATGGATGTTGACGTTTATTTAATTGTATAATTTCCATAATATAATATTTAACTCCAGATTTTGTTAAGCCAAATCCAAGTTTTTGCATATTAATACAATAGCTGGCAAGTTGAACTTCTTCATGTTAGTAAGAATAGTTGGTGAACCTGAACGATTAAGAGGACCACCATTTTTTACAGCTCTTCGAAGTGTAATTTCTGAAAATCCAAAGCTTTTTGCTATACTATTTATACTTGGGGGTTTTGAATCTAAAGGATAATTTTTTAATGTATCAAGTGCTACACAAATAATATCTTGTCGATTTGAAGAAGACTGAGGCATTTTATTTAATGTAATACAAAGTAATATAACTAGCATTTAAATAATTAAATTAAATATATTTTATACACATGTTTAATGTCACTTGTTTATATTATTGATACTTCGCAATAAAATAAATAATAAAAAACATTTAATGTGACTTCAATCAGTTCGTCATAATACCCTAATTCATTATAATACTCTATTAACCTTATATTTAATTTCTCAGTTCTATATTCTCAAGAAAATAAAAAAAATTTTGAATAGTATTCATAATATGCTATTATAAGCATTACTAAAGATTCTGCTATACTAATAAAAAAATCATAACTTTGAATTGAAATAAAATTCTTTTGTAAAATATATCATTTTATTGAATAATGAATACTATAGCTATACATGAAGTCGAAATGAAAACCCAAAAGTCGAAATGTTTCAACTTTAGAGGTCAAAGTCAAAATGAAAAGTCGAAATAGTCGAAATTATGTCATATCACATAATTTTTATATATAAAAAAACAAAAAAAAATAAAAGATATATGATCTTAGTCAGTGTTGTCATTGGATATTTTTGGGATATGGCCTGGGACATTGGGACTTAATGTGAGACATTTTGGAACATAGTGTGAGACAGTCTCAAAATGTTTGGGACATCGAAAATGTACATCACTGATCTCAGTCAATATCGCATTGATTCATATAAAATGACTACCATTCAATTTCCCGTGATTAAATGAATCCAATGAGCTAACTTTCATTGATTTTGGATTATCCAATCTCAAAATAATCGCAATTATATTATCAGCCAAAATTATAAATCAATAAATTCTACTTTAAATAAAGGAGTCTAGTTTTAAAATTTAATCACAAATATTTCATGATAGGCTGATTCAAAATCAATGAATGTTAGCTTATTGGATTCATCTAGTTACGAGAATTGAATGATAGTTGTTTCATATGAATTGGTGTGATATTGATTAAGATCGTATATCTTTTATTATTTTTATATATAAAAATCATGTGATATGACATCATTTCGACTTTTCATTTCGACTTTGACCTCCAAAGTCAAAATATTTATACTTTTGGATTTTCATTTTGACTTCATGTATAACTATAGTGCTTAATATAATTTTTCATATATATAAAAAAATAAACATACAATACTATTTCAATTTGTGTTTATAATCAATTATCCTATTTAAATAAGCATTATATAACTCTTCTAAAAAAATATAAAAATAAATTATTAAATAAACAAATGGGTTAGTACGTACAAAAATCAGGTTTTAATCATATGATTTATATAGTCCCGCAGTATGATTTTCGTACGTACTAACCCAAATAATCTATTTAATATCTAAAATATTGAGCATAAATAATTACCTAATACAAACAAGTAGTGATATATATTTTCTATGTTCTAAATATTTTGAGATTGTTTCACATTATGTTCCAAACTGTCTTACATTAAGTTTTAATGTTTCAGGTCATATTCTAATAATATTCTATGACAATACTGCAAACAGGTATATGAAAACACCAATTTTTTTATCAGATAAAATATCATTAACTGGAATTTACATCAGATTATTTAAATAAAAAGTATGTAATGCAATATCATTATCCTATTTATCAATATTAAGAACATTTACTGTAAAAGAAAATGCTGTGATTGATATACTATTTCAAAAAATTAATTATAATATATTATATCAATTCCAAGTGATAAAAGTCTTACCCCAGAAAAGATTTGATTTTGAGCTGTTTTTTTTTTGCATATTTTAGACCTTGAACTTGAACAAATGATTTACCATTATATATCAGAGTCTTAAAATAAATTTTATAGAAAGAATCTTTATCTTCAAGAAAATTTGATGCTTCATTCATAATAATAGACTGTGTATTAAACTCAGATCTAACATCTAACACTATTAGATCTAAAACAAGATATTTAAATTTGCTATATGTATTATTTCAATCATTTGAAGTAATAAATCTGCAATTTTATCAGCTTTCTTATTCTCTTTTATAGATATTATTACTATTATCATTAGTGTAATTTTCCAATAGGAATCTAAAATAAAAGATAATATTATTTTATATCAAGTAATAAAGATTACTAATCTTTAATATTATATCTTGAATTTATGTAGTAATTACATTACTTTTAATAATATAATTTATTTTAAGATATATATGATCAAGTATAGTTGTTTCTGATATGATAAGGTTGATCCAGCAATATAATTAAGTTCTTTAGCATATACAAGTTTGTATAATCTGTTATAACTATAATTGGCTTATTCCAATTAACACCTGATACAATTTATAGAAATTTCATAAAGTTTTCTACTACTAGATCTGAATTAGTAATTATAATAGAATCTGATCTAAAAATTTTTCTAATATTAAAAGTTACATACAATTAATTGATTTACTTGTAAAAATATCATATAAGTAAATAATTAATAATAATTACTAAATTCTTTAAATTGAAAGTCCAGCAAAAATATTCTAAAAATTTTATATTACGATTACTTTCAAATAATAATCTAAAAAAGTGGATTAAATATTTAGAATATTGAAGCCTTTTTAGGTTTATTCTGTAATTTTTTTCTATAACTTGTATCATTAAAGCTACAAGTTCTATAAAAATACTGTCTCTATAAATGTTCCACTTAAGTAAAATTAAGCTACCTTAGTTTAAAATGCTAAATCATCATTTTTACTACTTGTAGCAGTCCAAATTTAATATAAATTTTTATTTTTGAAAAGTTTTGATAATTGAGTTTGACGATAGTGATGATGAGTAAATTTGATAGTACTGCTTGTTACTTGTTCCTTAAATAATCAAATTTAACATATAATTTTTAAATTAAAATAATTTGTAAATGTAACAATAAAAATAAAATATAAATAAATTTATAGTCTTAAGTGCCTTATTTAAATATTTATTATATTTTAATTTTTCACACTTATTGCAAATAGTGTTTTTATTATTAGTTTTTTTCTTATACTGTATGATATACTGCTAAAGCTTCTTTATCTAAATGCCAAGTTGCTTCATCTTCTAATACTTGCTCAAATTCTTCTCTTTATTTTTTATTAAGCTTTTTTCTAGTAAAAGGGATTTTTTCAGGAAATTTTTGTAGAAAAAATTACTTTGCTATAAATCCAGGTTTTTTACCATCACCAAAACTAGCAGAACTATTTATAACGTAATTAATATACTCTAAATTACAAAGTCTCTGATATATAATAGTATTTCGCTTTCTATTTCTTAATATTATTATTTTTTTTATGGTTACTATTTTCTTCTAATTTGCTTTTTATAAAATAGACATTGTTTATTTACATGATAATTACAATTTTTACTTTGAAAATGTCTTTAAAAATTGGCAATTTGATAATTGTTACTAAGTGAAATAATTATATCACATTTACAAAGAATTTTTTAGAACTAATAAATTTTTAAAAGTTAGTAAAAAAAGTAAACTAGCTTTAATATAAATTATAAGAAATAGACATTTTAAAAAAAATAAAAAAAATAAAAAAAATTATCAAAAAAATTTTAATCTTAATAATATGAACCAATCATCAAGTAGTAACCTTTATTATAATATATACATGCAAATCTAACCTTAGAGTAGTAACCTATTTTTTTTTACAAATATAATAAAAATGAAAACCATATAAAACTTATTATTAATTTGAATCTATAATAAACTAGTCATATTCTTCAAAATTACATATAATAATCAAATTTTATTGTGGCAGGAACATAGGAGACAGTCAGCAGAAAAGGAGGAAATCTAAATTTTGGTCAAAATTTATATTATTTGATCACTTAACTAATCTTGATTATGTGTACAAATTTGGCTTAATAATAAAAATTAACAAAAATTTTGGATTTTTCCCTTTTCTACTGACTGTCTTCCATATAATATTTTCCAGTTCTGGTAAATTTTATCTCACGTAACTGATGACATTTAAGGAAAAGTAAAACAAAAATTTTTTAATGGTGAAAATTTTTGTATTTCTAGAATACATAGTAAATGAAATCAGGAAAGCATGATATAATGTAATAAATTATGCATATCATATAGGATGGAAAATCTTGAGACAATATTAGATAAAATATTTGATCATATATTGAATTTATAAATTTTAAGTCAATTTTTATAGTTTTATTTTATCAATTTCTTTATTATATTATTTTAATAAAACAATAAATTTATTTGTATTATAAGTATGTTCTTTTCAAGTTAAAGGTATTTTTTGTAAGCATTGATATATCTTAATTTCATTTTGCATTTTAATAATTAAATAAAAAAAATTTTTTTTAATATATTTATCACATTTTAGATTTCTGGTAGCTTTTTGTTCCTTTAATATTTGAAGTGTATTTTGAATAATTGTAATTAACTGATTGTATAAATCTTCACATTTTTTATATTAAATAGTATTATTATTTACTGAAGAATATAATTATCAGACAGAACTTTTTGTTAATTCTTTAGACTCAAAATAAAAGGTAAGAATCATTATAAGTTACTATATTAAAGAAATTCAAATTCACTTTTTTTTGTTTAATTAAATGTTTACATAGAAAGAAATAGCTTATTATAAAATATTACTATTATCAAATCCAGTTATGTATATCTATGATATATTGTTCTATACTTGATTTCTATTTTATAAGTAATTTTCATTTATTTTTAAAAGTAAATTTCCAATCTGATTTTATTTTTCCTAAAATTATCTATTCAAATTTTTTTTTAATATATAATTACTTTTTTATTGATTATATAAATTACTAATTTAGGCTATATATAAAAAAAATTATATAAAAAATCATATTTCAAAACCTTTTAATAAGCTTTTACAAATATTGTTATTTTTAACACAAAGATTTTAGAATCATTTCTATCTCTTATCCAAAGGTATCAATGATTAGAAAAGGGTTAGAAATTATATAATTTAATAACAAAGGAAGAAAAGAATACCAGTTGATAATAG